TACCTGGCCACAACAAACAAATGGGAGAAATGAATCTCTAACTTTGAAGGAGAAGCAGTAACTTGAATTAGGAGCTCAGCTCTTAACCGAACAAAGCAAAAGGAACAATTTCCAGTACAGAACCGCAACAAACAGCCATAAATTCGAGGTTCAACAGCCTTTTATAGATTCAGGGAACAGAACAAAAGTGACGCAAACTTTGGTAAGGAAACATAACAGGAAGAGGGATGAACCTTCATATGAAGAATGAAGTCATTTCTGGGCATTACAGTGATGGTCATTTTGCAGTAATAACANAAGAATGAAGTCATTTCTGGGCATTACAGTGATGGCCATTTTGCAGTAATAACCCATTATAATATGCTAGTTCAGAAATGAACAGCATAAACACGTCGATAAGAGAAATCAAAATCTACGGCATGACTGTTGAAAATAAACTCATCCATTCAAAGTTCAAAAACATTCAAGACATCATCATATACGCCAAGATACAGAAATAAGAGAAATTAAGCAAATAACGCCAACATTCATGACACAGAATCTGCAGAAAGGAAGAAGAATAGAGTTCAAAATGTGACCTCTTAAATGATAAGCAGAATTACAATGAATAAAACGACGTCCAAACAAGAACTTCAGCAAAACCTTCTCGAGCAGCGGCGAACTCAACAACTTCTCAATCGAACTCTAGTTTTCAACTCAAAATCCAGATTGAAAAGAAGAGACGGAATATTTTTTTTCGAAAATTGTTTAGACAATAATTGAAAAAAAATGGAACAGAAGAACACTGAACATGTTTCTTTTTTTTTTGTATTTTTCTTGTTCTAAAACTAAACCAGAAAATCAAAAAATGGAGATCGACCACTGAGAAGAAAAAGAACGTTTTTTTTTTACCCTAGCTTTCCTTTCCGATTTTTTCCCTGAAATTTTGTTTCCCCCCCAAGAGAAGACCTCCTCAGAAATCTCTTAACCTCCCTATATATACCCAAAACAGAAATTTTCGTACCTTTTTCTCTAAGTCATGCCCTAAGATTCCNAATTTCCTACAAATTCTATAAAACTAAAAACAATTAAGCAAAAATCTATTTGTGAATTTCTATAAGAATATTTTAGTCGGGCAAAAATCACGTGCTCACACAATGCATGAGAAGTAAGTCAATAAGATCTCATGGAATGTCATAAAATCATTATGCCTTCGATTAATATCATGAAATAAACTTTATCAACTTACGTATTTTCTGAGACCCATGAACAGATGATAGAATAATAAGACACATGGGGAATCAAGAACATATAAACCCCTAGTACTTTTAAGAATATAGTTATTTGTGAAAGTTCCGCGATTGCTCATTTCCTTTGTATCATGTGGATCATGCCAAAAGAAAAAAAGGGATAATCTTAACATATTTTTGCTAATAATGACTTAATATATACTGCATGTGGTACTTCAACGGAGAGTTGGGCAGTACTTCCCCTATATATTTCCTTACTTCCCCTATATATTTCCTTACTTTCCCGAATTCGAAACCGCACCAAACAACAACATCAACAACCAATCCTATCCATTATATGCTTAACCTTGGTTGCCCTCTTTTGACCCTTCCGTAACATTACTTATCAATGAAGTACCCTTGGATTCACTTCAAGAAATCAAACGTTGCTTCTAGCTTTCTTGAGAAACACAATTGTTTAGCTAAAGTAGTCCATATTAGAGGGAAACATTGTTACTAGATCTCAAAAGGGAGAACCAGCACTACTGTTATATTTGTATAGCACGTTGCTGCTATAAAATGAAGGAATTATTGTTGTTATTAAGTACTTAGATGCTGCACATCAAGAGTTACTAAAAGACAAAGAGGAGAAAAATCCTTCATTGCATTCTACGTGCAGTTGCAACCAACTTTTCATATGAACTCTTGTCTAATTAATTCAAGAAATTGCTGCATATATTTACAAAGTAAGAGAGAAGTGAACTCTCAAATGATGCCATATGATATGAGGTCCACCTAGCAAGCTAAGCTCTTATTCTTTCAAATATGTCACTTATTACCCATTAAATGCATAGTCACTTTGTTACTTTCCCTCATAGTGACACGTGGAGATGTTGTCCCCTCACCAATTATTCAAATATAGCTTTAGTAATATACTATGACATGTATATCTATTATGGTAGCAAGTGGTGAACCTACCTGGAAAAGTTAAAGAAAATAATCATTTTGTCTTCATCCTAACATAGAACTTTGGAAATATTCAATTATTAATAAATTATGGCATTTTATAAAGTTAAAATATACATTAATATTTCATAGAGACGTGAAGATTATGACAATGGTAAAAAAAAAATATATGTTAAATTCTAATATTTCCCATCTAACCTCAAAAGTCCAAATTTTTGTACTATAAATTCTCAAAATGGATAAAGATAACTATTATTATGAGAAAATAATTTCTATCTTTATAACAAAAAAAATCTCATTTATAAACTTTCTCATATCATGTATATAATTTAAAGCATATCCGAAAATAGTAATAATAGTAACTATCCAAAATTATACTTGATATATATCAATTTGTAATGGCTAAAGTGCCTTGGACGATGGAAGTGGCAATGTTTGTCTTTACTTGCCAATAGATCTTTTACAAAGAATACATATATACACATAAACACCTCAACATTTTTTTACTAATTATAGGACCTATATTATGCTAATCATATGTATTATCTATATTTACATGCAAGCATATGTTATTTTAACATCATAACAAACCCTCATTTTACTACGGGGTATAGCATCAACGTAATACTGCGGGGTGTAACAAGTGCACCACCTCAAGTGAAACCCAATGATCCAGGAGGAAGTCCCGCAAAATGATGTTCAAGTACATGATGAAGTTCAGATTGACATTGAGGATATTGTGGTAGAGATTTAAGAGTAGGTGAACCCATCTAGGAAACATATCATTGACATGCCGAATCTGGTAGTGCAAAAGGTCAAAATATGAAAAGTTGTTGAGTACAATTGTGACTTGTTATGGAAAGTCTTCTTTTAATGATATTAATAATTGCTACTTGTTATGGAAAGTCTTTTTTTAATGATATTAATAATTGCAATCTTCTTATTAACTCTTTTTATTTGTCGTATTTAAATAGTTACGACCTTAAAATCTTAGATTCGCCACGTCTGTCAAATTTGACAACTTTAAACTAGTCACATAAAACTTACGTATTACACCTAAATTACATGAAAGAACATCATCAATCAATCAACTATATGTTAAATTTTAATGTTAAGTGAATTCATATATAAAGTTGGTAATTCTTTTTCCAGCAAAAGAGATATACTCCTCCTATATCAATTTATGTGAAGGGATTCGAAGTGCGAGGTTAAAGTACCTAATTTTCGGTGTGAACCCAAGTATAAATTCAAGTTCTTTAAGAAATTTTAAATTTTAAAACTACATAAAAGTACTACTATAAGTCAACATAATTAATAATTCAAAATACTTAAAAAGAGTTTGAGAAAATCATAATCAAGAAAAAATTATATGACTTCCCAAATAGTAGTAATGCCTTCACATAAAATGGGACGGACGAAGTAAATTAATTCTGCGTGAAGTGGGTTTCATGAGCAACTTAACCATGACCTTGACCCTTAATATCCATGGCAGTTTATCTGTTTGGAATGCTCCGTTTTTCAACAATGATAGTGGTATCCATGCTTCAGCAATGAAAACAACAATGAAGTAAAACATGATTGAACAGCTTGAACAATTTTACAACTTAGAAAGCAAACACTACGCCTGATGAGGATCTCGAAATGTAAGACACAAAAACAGTGTTTCAAGCCAACAGAGCCACACAGAAACTCAATATCAACTTCACAATGCTTGAATAATAAAAGATGAATGAACTGCAGAAAACATGAAATGGGGTGAGCATCCATGTCAAATAGCATTCGATTTGTACATGATCCTGGCACAGAAACGCCATGCCTTGATTATTCCTGCAGAAAGGTGGAAAATAGATAGTAGTAAACAAAGCATGGAAAGAAAGAGAGGAATTCACTTGATCAATTTACAATAGTCCATCTATATATTATAGTACCATAAAAGTCATTTAAAGCTATAACGAAAAGATCGGGTATTTTCTATTCTGAATCATGTTCAAAACATATTTTCAAGTAAAAGAACATGAAAAGAGTGATTATGACGACTTTGCTGATACAAAGGGAACTCAAATCCTAATGCTACCAACTGGACATGAATATAGTGCTACAACTTTGGTGAAGCCTATAACGGGGATTCAAACCATTATAAGAAAAACATGATTCAACTGACCTTTTAGTGTGTCGCCTAGGAATCAATTTCCGGAGGGAATACGGTGAGCTTGAATTTAATGCTTTCCAGCTTCTTGCGCTCTATTTCTTTTGCAGATCTGACAGCTGCACTGCATGCGTTCACCAGCCTCATCTCTCGAAGGCTATGTACATAAGCCAGCTCATATGGCACAGCCGTAAGCTTATCACAAGATATAAGAACAAGCTGCCTAAGTCTTGGGAAATGAAATTCTGAAGCCTCCCAAGTTTCCAAGTCTGTCGTTTTAATCAACAAGACCTGGAGTTCACTAAAACCTCCTATCTCTGGCTTCCAGGACTTCCCTATGAAAGCATTTTCTTTCAATTTTAGGACCTCAAGGCTTTCTAACTCCCCCAAACTATTTGCCTCACTCCAATCAAACTTTGTGTTTGACAAAATTAACTTCTTCAATGTTCGTAGAAATGTGATGAATAATGGAGGAAGGTGAATTTTTTCATCCGTGTAAAGAGCATCATTCAACAATTTCAAATGTTCTAGGCATTTTAGCTCTTCAAAATTGCGCCAGCCACCCCCGTTAATTTCAAGAAATTCCACCAAGTTCCCTCGAATACTCAATTTTTTGAGATTACAAGCTATTGAAATTACATCTTTCGTGCAACTTTCAGGTGCAACCACAGAAAGAGTTTGTAGAGCACTTGAAATTTTACCTGTTGGGGTAGGAGGGGGCGGCAATCTTACAGGGATATTGGTGTGAAGATGCATCAACTTTAACATGCTCCATATATCTGCTTTTATGTCAAGAGTGGATACTTCTGCACTCGAATTAACTATAAGAGTTTGTAAATTCCCAAATTTACCAACGTCCACTGGAAGCTCATTAAAGTCACCTGAAATAGCAAGATACCTCAAATAAATTAGGTGATAAAATTCCTTGATGAAATGAAATTTCAGGCATTCAATGTCCAAGACCCTGATCAATGGAAATGCTTTCTCAAAGAGTTGGATGTCATCAGATGACAACTTGGTTTGTGTTTGTTTAGAGGAAAAACAGTAGAAAGATCTAACAGGCTCAGCAACTGGTTTTGCCGAGAGAAAATAGTGTAGAACAGAGGGTTGAATGCACAATCCTTGAGAAGTATACACCGCTTGTCTAGTAAGGATATCCTGGTGGGGTGTTGGACATACTTCTTGAAGAATCCTTTTTCTAGTAGACTCTGCTTTGCAGAACTCATGCAACAAGTCGTGAATGTGACATGTTTTTATTTGGCCATCAAAACTCTTGTTCTTCACCATCAGCAAGTTCCTACCAACAAGGTTGTTCAAATAGCGCTCTGCTGTCTCCTCAAGCGTGTATGACGTTTCGGGCCTTATCAAGCGCTCAGCGATCCACAAGCGAATCAATTTCCAAGCAGGGATATCAAATCCGTGAGGAAAAGCACCACAATACAAGAAGCACACCTTCATTTCATGGGACAGGTGATCGTAACTCAACTTTACAGCTTCCAAACAGCTTTCAGGGTCATCTTCATTTAAAAGAGGATGCCACACATCTTTTTCAACTAGTTTCCAAGTACTTCTGTCCGTACGATGTTTTAGTTTTTTTGCAATTACCACTAGCGAAAGTGGCAATCCACTACATTTTGATGCAATGCTTTTTCCAAATACTTGTAAGTCATCAGGACATCTTCTCCGGCCAAAAACTTTCATTTCCAACAACTTGAAACTTTCAGTTGGAGTCAGAAATTCCAGATAATGAGGATCCTCATTAGCATCAGTAGCCACGTATTCTAGGCGAGTGGTCATCATGATTCGGTGGCCTTTTTTGTTTTCTGGAAAAACTTCCTTGACAGAATTTACAACTGCTGTCTCCCAAACATCTTCCAAGACAACGAAACATCTGCCTACTTCTCCCATATCATTACATATTAACGTAGCTAATTCTTTCACATCCTTATCTCGATATTCTTTGATGCTTCGTTTCATGAGCCCTCCGAGAATATTAAGAAATATCTTCTTTTTGTCGTATGACTGGCCGACATTGATCCAAATCTTGTTGGGAAACTCGCCTGAAATTTGAGGATCATAATAGATTTTTCGTGCAAGTGTGGTTTTGCCAAGTCCAATCATACCCACAATGGGAACAATATCTAGATCCTCTGGTCCTTCAATGAGTCGCATGATCACTTTTTGCGCTTCCTCCTTAATAACACCAACAACTTCGTTATCTTGATCCTCTGGTCCTTCAATGGGTGGCAAGATCACTTTTTGCGCTTCCTCCTTAACAACACCAACAACTTCGTTATCTTGATCCTCTGGCCCTTCAATGGGTGGCATGATCACTTTTTGCGCTACCTCCTTAATAACACCAACTTCGTTATCATCCGAAGTAAGATGCTAGATTTAAGATGAAATATCAAAAGTCAGATGAAAATTTTCTTCTTTTTTCAATTAGAACCTAAAAAGAATTCTTAATTTCATGTAATGATGCCATAATTTGAACTCTATGCAAACATGTCCTATGATAACAAGTCGATCGGTTTGTCTTGTAAAATAACTATCCCATCTAAATATGGTTTTTTTGTGTTAAAAAAAGCTTATTTCCTATAGACTAAGTACTTGATTAGCAAATGCTCTTATGTTAAAGAAATGATCCATTTTGCAGTTAGAGTTTTGTAGAAGAGTCTTTGATCATGACCTGAAATCCACAATTACAAGAAAGAAACGAAAAAATAACTTAACAATCATATTGCATGTATAACTCTCAATAATTAGGATATGAAAGTTGGATTATTTGTCCAAAATGAAAGAAATAATCACTGGGGATAGTTCTATCATTTTCTAGCTAAACAGCAGCAAAAAGCTTATGGAAGCCTAATCTCCCGGAAACAACAGATCTGCACACTCTACCCTCCCCAAATCCCACCAGGTAAATTTTACTGAGTTGTAAGCTAATTACAATGAACAAAATAGAAGAAAATATAAAATTGATATTTAAAAAACAAATTTGTTCATGGTTAAGTTTCAAAAGTAGTTTTGTCACACTACTTTTGTTCATGGGCTTCAGGTATACCTGCGGCGCCAGGGCACCTTTTTTAAGCAGACGTAATTTCCACGTATAATAATCAGTCATAGCAGACTTTGCGGTTTCATCTTGTCGATATTTGCCCGGAATTCGGTCCACCTCGTTAGCGAATCCTTTCAACTCTTCTGCAAGATTCTTTAAATTAATCTTGCGATCATAACAGAAGCAATTCTCCGAAGGATTTTTCTCTTGGTGTAACTTCGCATCCTTAAGGAATTTATCAACCACGCGCTCAATTTTATTCAATGTACTTCGAATCTCGTCATCCAAATGCTTCCCGGAAAATTCATGTAGCAAGTACTCTAGGCTTCGGAGCAAATCATAAACCTCTTTCTCTACGCCGATCAGCTTTGCACCTTCATCTAATAGCTGCGACACTGTCTGTATTACGCCATTCACCGCCATATCTGCGCCCATCTCTATTTCTGGGTGATGTAAATACCTTTAATTTAGAGACTATCTCAACTTTTTCACCCTTATTGCTGTGCTATTACTGTATATCAAGTTGACTCTTAATCTCAATTATTTAGACCTGGTCTTTTTATATTCCTGCATATGTTTTATTCAAAACCAACAATATATATATAATTATTAACCACTCATAGTGACAGCTGTAGCTCACTAAAATATTAGTAAGTGGGTACCATATATCCTGATATTTTCCCAGTTAATTTTCTAGGCACTTCCAATTTCAACCTTCAACCTCTTTTTATTTGTAGAGTTGACCAATTGGAGATCGTCTCCCACTTCGAAACGCCAATGCGAAAGGGAAGGAAAAAACAATTGCGGTGACAGCCTGGTCACATGAATAAACTAAACTTAACAGTAGGTGTTGATGATATTCGGCCAAAAGTTTATTTTATTTATTTTGCATTTGAATCGCCTCACATTTTGCTCTATTCTTTTTGGTTGTAATGTGTAATTGCAATGAGTTGAGCTAAATTTTTTTGTTTATATGTATAGGAATCGGTTGAGAGAAATGGATTGAATGTGCATGAGTTGGAGCTAAAATGAAGAAAAATGGACAAGTGTCACGCATTATTGTGGCGCTAGAAACAGAAGACCAAAATTTTCAATGCATATGCTAGCACGACGCCCAGGGCGCCCAATCTCGGGAGTTGTCCTATTTCGACTGGGAGAAGATCATTTTGGGTCCTAGACGCCCCCTAACTTGTATAAAGGGATCCTAAACCTAATTTGGGGCATATTTTGGGAGGGAGAACACCTCTTTGAAGGAGAATTCACATTGTGGGCATGTTGGAGCAAGCTTTCAATTAGTTTTTCTCCTCTTCTCTTCCTTTAACCTTATAGTTTGTTGGTTCTAGAGTTGTGGGTGTTACATGAACATTGTAGTTTGAAGCTTGAATAGTTTTTATTATTTTACCATATTTGTTTATTTATCCAATCCTACGCCTAATTATTTAATTGTTTGATCTTCAATTGAATACCATCTAGGAATCTAGGGTTGAACTCGGGAGAGGGAATTTAAGATTGCATATAAGATTGCGTAGAGCAAGATCTTAAACCTTGGCATCGAAAAATAGATTCACGGTTAGGATAGGGATATACCTAATCGCCTTGCTTGGTTACTATACATGAATTATTAATGCATTTTTGTTAATCCTAATTCCATAAGAGTATAGGTGTTAGGTTGGCTTGAATATGCGAGTAGTATTTCGGGAGAATACTACGTGTAATATTAACTCTGTCAATCAATGAAACAGATAAATTAATTAGACAATTTGAGTGGAAGACTCAACGGGATTGTTAGCTAACTCATAACTCTGAAATATTTTCTCCCATTGAATTCATATCTAAGATTGCCGACTTGTTTCCTTTAATTTCTTAGTTTACTACCTAGATTAGTTTTAATTAAATAATCACACCTTAGGAATCGCTTGAATAGATTGATTGTTGAGTTTAATTTTGTTGGTAGTTAATCACAAGTACTTGTGGGAACGATACTCTACTTATCACTTTATTACTTATCGACCACGTATACTTGTGTGTCCTTTGGGAGCAAGAAGTTTTTGGTGTCGTTGGTGGGAACTTTGAAATTGGTTGTTTTACTATATTAGACTTTTACTTTTTTCTATTCAAGTTTTTAATTTTAGTTTAGTGTAGTACTTCTGTAATTATCATTATTTTGTACATGACATGTTGGAATGAAAATTGGTTGAAGAGTGGTTATTCTTACTTTGGTAATCCATGTCTATATTATGTAGAATCGCACTTGTGGCAAAATTATAAAAATATTTTCGGAGCGAGTTAGTGTACTATCTCAATCTTATGAGTGGAATTTTTGGAATGTGTGTGGTTGTCAAGGTGGTCATTGGGTTGGATGTCCTAATTATTTTTATCATTTTTCAAGCTCTTATTATGATTTTTCTAATAATATTTGTGAGTTTGATAGGAACAAGAAAGTGGAGGATATGGAATGTGTTCCTCGTAGTATGGATATGACGAGGCAAGTGGCCGTGCAACAAGATGAAAATCAAAAAGCTATAAAATGAATTAGTATAGCAATTGTTTCACTAGTACAGCAACCATGAGAATGAAGGCCAAGGTGGAAGAATTGACTTAAGCAAGGAAGTTCCTACAACAAGATAATTTTGAAGAAGCGATATAAGCTAATTTTGGCTGGAGGAACAAAAGTCTATTATGTTTAAAAAAATATATTTTTTCTCTTAAACTTTGTATCAAATCAAATTATATCATCTAAATTGAAACGGAAGGATTAATTGATTTTAATAATTCAACTTAAAATAGTCAACAACATATTGTTTATATCTGATAAAGAAGTAGAAAAATAGAAATGAGAATATGAGATGTTCACGTTCACTTGTTTCCATTCATCACACTATTTGACCTAGACTTCTTTTCTTTTACGCGACTAAACTATTTATTTTCAATGCAGATTCTTTTCATCTTTATTTTCATACAAGATCAATAATGCACAAATTAAGTGACAACGTAACGGGTGATGTGAATCACCCAATGACTTATGGTCGATCATAGAAATTTGCGGGTGACTATATAAATAGCCGGATTCAAGATTTAAATTTTATGGGTTCTTTTTTGATTCTACCACATTTCATTTCATTTAATGGGTTCAAAATTTATTATATATATTTATTTAATAATTTATTGGGTAAAAATAAAATATATAAGCAAAAGTTATAAGTTCAATTGAACTCATAGTTTCTATACTAAATATGCCTCTAACTATATAGATAGTAAGGCCAGTTTACCTTATTACTATATGCTCACGTCACAAGTTAGACATCATCATTTCTGAAATGCAAGATAGAAATAACAAAAATATGCCTCCTCCTCCTCCTCCTTAATTACTATTGTATTAAGGCTTCAAAACACTAATATTTCTTGTAATTTATGATAGTATTTTTTTATCCATAAAATGGTACAATTGAATTTATAGTGTAGTTTATAGACAAGCGAATCGATATGATCCCAAAATGATAAATAAATTAAATGAAAAGTATAAAACTTAGCGTTGAAATCGAAATAAACAACAAGTAGCCTGGTTCCGGGAGCAGGGCTTCTGAAGACAGTGATAAGAACAATATTAGACAGAAAATAAGTGTTATTTGGCTTGGGAATAGTGTGTAACATAAGTTTTGCATGATATTTTGTGTGTTACAATAGTTTTTGAAGTCACTGTTTATAGTTATACCTAGGGAAGAAGCTCCTAAGATTAAGCCCCTCTTAAATGATAATAATGGGGTTCATTGATAAATATGTAACGGCAGGTCATGAATGCCAAAATTCCTTACAACGGTTGTGTATTTAATACTGAGAAATATTCTTCATTAAATGTCATTTGGTGACAAACATTCATTTGCTCCAGTTCACTGTTTCCCTTCAGGATCTTCTCGGTGCCAACTGAAGTTGTTGTCCTCGAACTTGGTTTCTACTCGCTTCATCTTCCATCTGCCCCCAGTTTCACATGTCACGCTATCATGCGAACATTTAATATGAACCGATTTTACCCCATACAATATTATGCTTATCCTGGGGAGGGGGGGGTTAATAATAATTTTAACCTATTTATTATTAATAATATATATAAATTATGGTTTGATTAATTTATCCTTCCGAACATATTCTTTGCACTTCATAGAATGCCGGTGGCCTTTGATGAAATGTTTGACACGAGGGTTCATTTTCTTGGCGTAACACAGCGAAGCAAGGTTCGCTTCGCCAGACCGGGACCGGGGAAGAAGAAATCAACTTCTCCAATCTGAATTAGGAGAAGCCAAACTCGCCCAACTCACCCTACTTCATATAAATATGATAGTTAGCCATTTTTTGAAGAGAGAAAAGACTTTGGGGAGGCAAGAACATGCTTGGAATAAGGAGAATGATTCAACTTTACATTTTTTACCTTTTCTTCCTATTTTTCCATAGTTATGAATTCTAGTGTTGTATTTTTACATACTAGCATGACTAGCTAATTTTTCATCTAGGTTTTTGATGAAACCTTTTGGAGGATGAATTCTTGTTACGTTTTTATATAATTGAGCCTTTGAATTTCTCTACTTGTTTAACTACGTGCTTATTTCAGTTGATTGAAGAGCTCTCAATTAACTGTGCCTATTTATTACGTATTACTTGGAAAAGGGTATATATTTAGGTAGTTGTTGAACAATATTACTCTTAACGAATACGAGGAATCAATACGGAAGGTTTAAAGGTGAGACTAGGAATAACAAAACTTTGGTGCAATTTTACTGAGCGGTAAACTAGTGTCAGCTAGCGTAGTTCGAAAGAATATGTCTAGTAAATTATAGTAGTTGCTCGAAAGAGAATTACGACACTTAAAGTACTCACGATCGGTGGAGAATACTTAGGTGGATTTATAGGAGACGTAGTGGGGAGGATTCCAACAATTAGAAAAGTCATAACCCTAGACCTTTCCAATCTTATCTCCAACCCTTAGTCTTGTTAGTTGATAATTTTACTGCTTTTAGCATTTATTAATTAATTATTTTAAAATAAAAATTATAATCTTTATAGTTAGAAAATTATTTGAACTTGTATTTCTTAGTAATATTAAACAGTTATAGTGAAACCTTAGTTTTTTGTGGGATTCGACTCCGGTCTCTTAGACCAGATTATATTTGCAATGACCGCTTAGTCCTTTTTATAAGGTACTAGTATAAATACTCGCGCGATGCGCGGATAATATTTAGAAAATAAACGGCAGAAAATAATATAAGTAAAAAATAGTAAAGACATATAATACTACTTTTAATTAGTTTTGGCTTACCATTCATAAAACTAATTTTACATATAGTACTGATTCTATGCAAAAATGGAAAAACATTTGCAATCGAATAATTATATATTAATAAAATTAACAAAAGTATAAATATATTTAGTAAAATTAGAACTAAGGTAAACTGCATATTTTATTATCAAGGTGTAAGGGACATTATTATACGATTCTTTCTTTCTTTATTCAGTAATCTTTGTCTATTATTCATCTTTCAAATAAACCTCTTTTATGTCAATTCCTAAATTGCATGT